GGGATGGTTGAGTTTTAACCGGAGGCAGAGCGCGAGCGGGGTCAGTGTGTGAGCAACGCGAGCAGCCGAGCGCGGAGAGGCGCCGCGGCTGTGAACTCCCCCCTGCCCGCCGCGCCAGCCCTCCCCCGGAGCCCCCGCGCCGCCAGCATGAAGCGAGCCCACCCCGAGTACAGCTCCTCGGACAGCGAGCTGGACGAGACCATCGAGGTGGAGAAGGAGAGCGCGGACGAGAATGGGTGAGCTGGCGGCGGCGGCGCGGAGCCGGCGCGGGGGCCGCGCGCCGGCCGGCCGCGGTGACAGGGCGAGGGCCCGGGACGCGCCGGTGCCCCGCGCCGACCTCCGCGCGGCGCGGGCGGGACGCCGCCGGTGCTGAACGACCCCCCGAGGCGCCGGCAAGCCCACGTTGCCCGGACGGTCCGAGCGCGGGGAGGGCGTGGGGGCGTCCCTCACGCCACCCCCATCGCTTCACGGCGATTTCAGGGTTTTTTTTTTTTCCTTCTTTTTTCCTTTCTCCTTTCAGAAACTTGAGTTCGGCTCTAGGTTCCATGTCCCCAACTACATCTTCCCAGATTCTGGCCAGGAAGAGACGGAGAGGGGTGAGTGTATGCCTCTGCTTATTTTTGGTTATTAATGAACGGCAATAACCACCTTTCTTCCTCTGAAACTTACCGTTCTAATGGAAATGCCCTCCTTTGTTTTGCTTGCGTCCTATAGATAATTGAGAAGCGCCGACGAGACCGGATCAATAACAGTTTGTCTGAGCTAAGAAGACTGGTACCCAGTGCTTTCGAGAAGCAGGTAATGGAGAAAGTAGGTAGAGCTCTCGGTGTAGCCGTCTGCAGCTTCTGAATCTTTCCCCCCATTCGTCTGACCCTCATCCGCCTTGGAAAATTGCTTGTGCCTGGGAGGTGAATTTGTACCCAGATTCCAACGTATTCTGTGAAGCCAACTCATTTTGCTTTAGTCCCCACTTGACGATTTACAAGGCATATACGTTTACATATACGCATGCATGTTTCAGGTTGTTCCCCAAAGGAACTTGTGTCAAAACAAGCTTTTACCATTCTCTTCTTTAGGGATCTGCTAAGCTAGAAAAAGCGGAGATCCTGCAGATGACTGTGGATCACCTGAAAATGCTGCACACGGCGGGAGGGAAAGGTACATCTCACCAGTCCTGGCGGGGGGGGG